TCCCTTGCTGAGCACCAAGAAACCTCTCTCGGCTTTCAGGTCGCACCCCGAGTCAATTCCGAATCCGTCGCCTGCAGCAGTTGGCTCCGGAGGCTTCGGAGCTCCACCCGGAGCTCCGTGTTCTCCTGGCGGTCCGAACCCGCCCAAACCGCCTGAGGTGAGGTGGTGCGGACGGGTGCAGTTTAAAGGGCCAGACCAAAGGAAAGCGAGCTTTCTTTCTTTTTTGGTGGGGGCCCCTTTGGAACTTGGGGAACTTTGAGATACCCCAAAATGGATGTCCAACTTCCAACCCTTTGGAAATTGGGCTAACTCCAACCCCCAACATGGGCACGGTTTGCTTCTGGCTTCCCTTTGGGTCCCCCTTCCAAGAAAACCTCCTGCCCTTCGCTGACGGTTCTGAAGTTGAACTCTCTGGTGCCCAATATCCCATATATTTGCGCGGCGTTCCACAGCCATTTGGAGGAGGTCGCAGCCCGGCCGCTTGGTGCAAGAAGTTTACCCTAGCAATCGCAAGTGCCCGGCACCTGCCACTGAAAAGAAATCATCCGCCATGCGCGGAGAGTTGTCGTGAAGTTGCTTTCTCAGCACTTCGTTCGCTGCTTCTTCGCCCCGGTCAGTTCCCGAGACTCGATTCGCAGGGCCAAATACCGAAAACAGACCTCCTGCAGTCGAGGTGTTGTCTCACAAAAACCCCCACCGTCGCGTCTGAATTGAAGGGACACATCCATACATGTCCATCAAAAGGAGGCCCGGCAGAGTACTTCTGCCAACAGGTGATCCCCAGGTGTCCAGACGCCCTAGTAGACGGGGGTGATCTTTGTTAGCGGAGTAAGCTACAAATCAAAAGGTGTTGAGGGTGCCACTGCGCCAATTGGATGCTTCTTGTAAGGACTGGATGTCTTTGTGTCAAGGGTACCCTTCTCTCTTTTCTTTGAAGGGGAGGGCTTCAAAAAAGAAACCAAAGAACCCCCCCCCCCCGCTGCCCATTTGTTGAGTTTGACACACCCGCCCCAGATACCAACTTTCTGGATGAGACCCATCCTTGTTGAGTTGCTCCATCTCCTGCGCAAACCGGAAAAGCCGACGATAGCGAAGGATAAGTTTCTTTCAAATTGATAATTTGGGTTGCAAGTTGGGTTGGAAAGAAACAGAGGTTCTTGTTACCAAACCACCAATGGAAATCATGAACGAAGGCCAATCTGGCGTCTGCCCGAAAGCACACATGACAAGTAAAGGCGGAAAGAATACAACAAGCACAGGGGGCAAAATCTCTATAATATAGATACGTTCTTCCGAGGCCAACAAAGAGGAGCCGTCAAAACATCTTGTCATCGAAGGAGACCCTTCAAATGGTCCAACTCGGACAATCCAAGGGGAACAAGGTCATCTTTGCCGCGAAGGCGAGGTGTTAGGCACCACGAAAGCTCTGGATCGACCTCTCTGTACGGCACTTCTAAAACTATCCCATAAAGAAAGCCCCTCTAATACATCCCAGCAACAGTCAAAATTATGACTGCAGCTTGTCAGGCAGGAGGAGTTCGGAAGGCAACACTGGCACTGTGTGGGGCCAGATCAAAGCTGATGATGGATGTCTTTGTTCAGGAAATGAGGATGTTTCAACCACTTCCATGAGCTCCCGGAGGCGCTCGGGTCCTTTCATGCGCTCCATTGAACATGACCTCGCCCAAACGAAATCATCTAACCAATGATGTGGGGGGGCATCCCGGCTCGTCGACATCCCCATTTCGTCGGGATGTTGAGTCTCCCTGACTCCTTGGCTCGCTCTGTCCCACAAGGTTCCAAGGCGAAATCCCCAAAACGCTGCATATGCTCACTTCCTTCAAGTAAGTGCCAAGAAATTTTCGGACTTGTTGTTTGCCGCTCGAATGGTCCGAACCAAGTATAAGACCGTAATCTCAGGAAGCAAGCACAAGGACGATCTCAACCTTCCGGCCTTGGCCCGCAACTTCTGCAAGAAGTCCAGCTGGTCATCCTGAAAGCCACTTGGCGGTGCGGAAGAAAGCAACTGGCAGATGTTCCTTTTGTCTTTCCTTCAAAAACAAGACCCCCCCCAAAAAAAAAAGCAAAACACTTCAGGACATCCCGACGTCGCGGGCTGCGTTGGCGTGCCCTTCGGAAACTGCACGACTTCAGGCTCCGTTGGATCAGAAATTGGCAGCGTTGTCTTGGTTGACGTTGGAAGGGGAGCAAAAAATGAAACTTTAGCAGTTCAGTGGGGAGTTCCCTCTAAACCGCAATAAGCAAAAATGTAAAATGTTTCCCAACAACAACCATGTTGCAGGTCGGCCACCCTCGGAGCCCGCAACTCTCGCCACCAACGTCGCCGGATCTCCAAGCAAGCTGTTGCTTTAAGCTTTCATCCTCTCGTCGCGCACGCCAGTTAAACAGGACAAGTGTCTTGTTCTCCAGGGTTCCCATATGTCCCCTTCAAACGTCTCACCTTCTAAGACTAGCCCCAAAGTGATTCATGTTGAAGGTTTACACCAAATCAAAGGGGAACATGGGGAAGCCTGCTTTTCCTCCGGTTTTTCCTCTGCAAACTCCCCCGGAAAAAAGGATACCCCGAGTTCATCCCATCCGACTCTGCTGAAGCTGAGCCCCCAGCGCCCTCAAGGGACCTAGGCTCCAAAAGTTGAGTCTCCTCATGTACATGTATTTGGCTGTTTCTCAACATAGGGAGTCTTACATGTCAAAGAACTAGTGGTTTCCCTTTTAACTGCCATTTTAAATCCAACCACAAGAGAGGGGTTCCCCAAAAAGACAATTCCCACTGGGATTGAGAGGAAGGCCCCCAGAAGATCTAGATATAGCATGTGCATGTGCTCTTCATGTCATCTTCGGCAAAATATATAACTAGGTCCTCCAGTAGAGAGGTTAGAACAAGGGTAGCCTTTTTTCTGTAGTCCATTTTAGTAGGGGAACCCTCCCCCAAAAAAAGGGTAAAAGGGCACTGCCGGGAGCACCGAGCCCCTGGCCCCATGCTCACCAGCACCGACCTCGGAAGTCTAAAGGACCGGGGCCTTGCGCCTACGATTTTTTCAACAGGGAACATCTTGCACTTGCGCGGGTTTGCACACATCCCCCTGCGATGTCTCATTTCCACCTTGCCTTCCACGTGCCGACTGGAAAGGTCTAAAAAAGCAAATCATGGGGGCTGGGGGGGAGGGAGGGGAGGGGGAGGGAGCCGACATAAGCCTCAAATAAGGCGCTTCTTAATAAGGGCTTAATAAGGGCTTAGCTGGGCCCCCCCCCCCCCCCCCCCCCCCGCCCCATGACAAAAAGGCCGGCGCAGTTTCTGCGACGAGTGAGGACCCCGCGCCATCGTCTCGTCAGCTTCAGTCGGCCTGGCAACGGCCCGAGCCTGGCCCCACTCGGGTGTCACTCGCCCAAAATGGGCCAAGAAAGGGAAAGCAAGAAGACCCGGCAAACCACTTCTCCAAAGAAAACCAAAGGCTTGAAAAGTCAATCGGCTCCCATTCGAAGGCGGTTCCTAGCAGGGAATTCTGGCAAAATTGTGGTGATTTAGCAACCAGTACCAACTGGTGTCCATCCACAGTATTGGGAATGTCCCCACCAACCATCACACAAGGAATCATTTCTAATTGGAAGGAGATCGTATTCGCTGCTGAGAAACATGAAAACTATCCCCCCCCCCAACACCCCCCTAACTTGGAGGCCAAAAAGCCACTAAAAAGGCCGTAGTAGCTGCTCAGCTCTCTTTTGTCACGTGGTTCGGCCTCAAAACGTGTTTTTGCGTTTGCTCCAAAACCTCAGTAGGGCCTCAAAACGTCTTTGTGCATGTGCTCCGAAACCTCAGTAAGGCCTCAAACCTCGGTAGGCCTCGGGGCCTCTGTTGCGGCCAAGGAGCAAAAACTGAAAGCATCTCAGCTACGTCTCAGTATATAAGCTTGCCAAGAGAACTCTGACAGCGGGGGTTTCGGGGAGTTGGGGGAGGGGTGTTGGAATAGTTTGCATGAGAAAACCGGCAAGATAGGCTTACGAGGTAATCAACTTTGTCGCGCAATCAGATATCGGCTACAAGGAAGGTTGGCAGGAGTGAGTCTGGAAGCCGCTAGAACACCAACGTTCAACCAACAGGGGTGTCCTGTGCAATATCCCACAAATGATTGTTCCTGTCGCTGGATTCCAGCACAGAAGCATTCATCCTACTCGCGACAGGCATAGACAGAACCCACTCAAGGTGTCCTGTTCCAACTGTTCTTCCAGTTGCAGGGTCATTCAAAAGCAAAGGGACCCCAGTGCTCTTTATATTCCCTTGTACAGGCATGACACGAAAAAAGGCATCCTTCAATGCATCCACTTTTTGAACAACTCCAGTTGACTTCTTTTGGGCAAACAGTCGTTCATCGCACCCCAAACGGATCCAACCACAGTGCTACACAAACGCTCGCCTCTGGTGTGCGACCTTCACGTGCAGTTCGGCATCGCCAATTCAAGCGTCAAAGTGCACGTGGACAAGTGCGTTTTCCTCGTGCTCTTTCAGCACTCTTGCATTTGGCTGAGGTCTGCTGGCAGCACATGACCTGTCAATCTTTGAATCACATGTTTCTGGGTGAATTATAATATTTCACCAACCTGAAACAAGGTGGTTGGGGGCTATTCCCCACATAAACAACTATTTCGGGTGACGTCGTGTGAGATCGTTTTAATTCACCCAGATGTTTATTTGGAAAACCCAATCACGAAGTGAGACATCATGACAAGTTCCAACCCAAGGATGCTGTCTGTTTGCTACCTGATATTGAAGTGAGATGCAGGCGAGCATGTCGTGACAGGGGGTCCAAGGGTTCGTTTGATGCATGCCTCCATATGCTAGTCCGTGCACTCTCTCTCCGAGCGAAGGGCGCGGCATCGAACATGGATCCACCTACCGCTTGTGGTGAAAAACATGGCAAGGACTGCAAGCGTCAAATGAAGAGCACCAGCAAGCACCACAATCCAGTAGCCACACTGCAACATCAGCGTTCAAAGAAGACGCGACCAGCACACCCGATTAACATCGAAGCTGCATGGGACACATCCCAGCGGTCTTGGACATTCACCTGGCCGTTCAACAAGGGTAGGACCATGTAAACAATTATATATTTTATTGAGTATGGAAGTTGTTTCATATTTTTTTTTATCCCTCCTTGCATCCCTTATCGAGCTCCTCTCCATTAGCCATGTCTAAGCCGATGGTCCAGATTTTCTCCGGAGTCCAGGTTTTCTCTGGAGAAACTTAAACCTTCAGCTAAAATGGCTTGAGCCAAAGGGTAACCACAAGGGACACCAAATACTTTTTTGGCACACCATGTCGAGACAAAGCCCATTTGTCCAAGAGGAAACCTACACTTTCAGGCCACATTCTTCCAAACAAGAAAATGAGGCAGAACCGCCCCAAAGGACCACCCGACTCCCAGCACCACACCACGGAATCAGCTCCTTTCCCTCCCCACGCGATCTCTTCGCCGCCCGCTCCGTGGCTTCCGCGGCTTCCGCCTGGGCCTGACTGGCTGCAACTCACATTCACTCGCCTTACAAAAAGGTCCTCGTTGATTCGCTTGAAAACGACACCTCAAAGGGCCTCAAAACAAGACCATAGGTGGCCTTTGGAAAAATAGATGGCCCTGGTAAACGGAACAAAACCCATCTAAACAGATCCCATCTACTTTTAACCAGCTCACCTAAAAAGGACACCTATGCCTCTTGCACTAGTCCGTTTCGATTCGACTTGAGGGCCTTGAGCGAATTGGAAAAAACAAGCCTTAGCGGTTCTTGAGGCCTGAACATGGCAATCCACCGTAAGCGTCTCCCCGAGTCTCAGCATTTCCAAACCTCCAATCTGAATTACAGCTCAGATGCCCAGTGGCCATGGGTAAAAAAAGGGCACCATTTCGTGGTTGGTTGAGTTTGAAGGGGAACCCTTACCAAAAAAACAAAGAGACAAGAATGAGTACCAAACAACCCTGAAAATTCCCCTGTTTTCTTACCCTCGATCCACCCGGACCCCAGCCCAAACCAACCTGGTGGTGGTTTGGATTGGAGGTTTGGTGGTGTTCCGGGCTGGTTTCCCTTTACCCGCTACAAAACCCAAGGTTCAAACAATCCAAACCACCAAATAGGGACTTACCTGATTCTGGTCATTTCAGGCTCCCCCCCTCCCTCCAAAACGAAAAAACACATGGGTGTCGAACACGATCGAAAAACATAGGCGAGGGACCTCGGCGAGGGACACGTCCATTCATCTGTTTCTATTCTCTTGGTGAACTTAACTGTGCTATCCTCAGATCCCTACTAAAAGTGCATAACTTTTAGTGGCTCAAATGGAAACCCAACCACCAAACCAACTATAAACAACTAAAAACCTGTAAACACCTATAAACACCTAGAAAAACCTATAAACACCTACAACCACCTACAAACACCTAAACAAAAAAGAAAAAGAAGAAGAAAAAAAAAAAGTAAAAAAAACGCGGGGGGGAAAAAAAATAAACTAAGAACATGCCGGGGCTTGCCGCCCAGTTTACGCGTCCTGCCCCGTTTTTTCCTTTGTTGTCTTTCTTTCCCCGCGGATCTCAGGCTCGGCCGCCCGACCCGCCTGCCAGGGCGCCGTTGGGGCGTCCAGCAGGCCATTGGGCCTGACATGGCTCCGCCGCCGACCCCACGGAAATCCCTGCTCCGCCCTTGGGGTTGGCACCCTGCGGCGGAGTTTGCGGCTCATTTTGGGGCTGATTTTGCGGAAATCCCTGCTCCGCCGTTGGGGTTGGCACCCTGCGGCGGAGTTTGCGGCTCATTTTGGGGCTGATTTTGCGGAAATCCCTGCTCCGCCGTTGGGGTTGGCACCCTGCGGCGGAGTTTGCGGCTCCTTTTGGGGCTGATTTTGCGGAAATCCCTGCTCCGCCGTTGGGGTTGGCACCCTGCGGCGGAGTTTGCGGCTCATTTTGGGGCTGATTTTGCGGAAATGCTCCGCCCTTGGGGTTGGCACCCTGCGGCGGAGTTTGCGGCTCATTTTGGGGCTGATTTTGCGGAAATCCCTGCTCCGCCGTTTGCGGCGGAGGGGTTGGCACCCTGCGGCGGAGTTTGCGGCTCCTTTTGGGGCTGATTTTGCGGAAATCCCTGCTCCGCCGTTGGGGTTGGCACCCTGCGGCGGAGTTTGCGGCTCATTTTGGGGCTGATTTTGCGGAAATGCTCCGCCATTGGGGTTGGCACCCTGCGGCGGAGTTTGCGGCTCATTTTGGGGCTGATTTTGCGGAAATCCCTGCTCCGCCGTTGGGGTTGGCACCCTGCGGCGGAGTTTGCGGCTCATTTTGGGGCTGATTTTGCGGAAATCCCTGCTCCGCCGTTGGGGTTGGCACTGCGGCGGAGTTTGCGGCTCATTTTGGGGGCTGATTTTGCGGCTGATTTTGGGGTTTGGGGGGGGGCTTTACGCTTCTCGGCGGGGTTCTGGGGGTTGGTGTTGGGGGAAGCGAGACCCAAACAACGAGATGGCCGGCTCGTCTTTTGAGTGGACCTGGACCCCCCCAAAAATGGCCTCAGTTGGTGGCCCGTGTTTTGTTGTTCTTCTTGAGTCCAAAAGGTGGTTGGCGGTCTGTTTGTTGCTGTTTCTTTGTTGTTTCTCTGGAGTCCAGCCAAACGGGGGTTCCCAACAAAAAAAGGACAGAACCATACCCTTGTTTAGTGGTTGTAAAGGAAAAAGAAGGAAAACCATCATACCCCTATATCCCAAATTGTATATAACCACAGCTATCTCAGATCTGACCTTTCTTGTACCGAGTCGGTCGCACATCCAAGAACGAAAGCAACGTGTCAAACCTCCGTCCCCAAATATGGCAAAACCGCCAAAGGGAAACAATGTGCGATTCCCGAATTGCAAACAAAAGGATCCAAACCAACCAACTGCTCCTCAAACCAGGCGAGAATCCTGGCGGTCAAAATCAGATAGACATACCCAACAAATAGGTGACATTGTTTGGACACCTATCAGAAACCATACCAAGCCTCACTTCCTGAGCGGGTTAGCCAAAGAACAAGTCGAGCATTTGTTTTCCACGAACATGTCTTTCCCATGTGAATATTTCAGGGAGTGAGGCATCTCTACACTAATTGATTGGCCTGCGACCCCCACGTGAGCCGCGGTAAAAACTACGCGGTCCCCAAGACGGCATGCAACATTTGGAGTGAGTCCCTCCATTTTGATCAGACCTCATATGATATAATGGTCTGCCCAAACAATGGCGTATCAGGAAACTCCGCCCGACGCTCAGATGCGGGGTTCTCAAATAAGTTTGTCTTTTTAATGGTTGCCTTCCTGTGGGAGTCCCTTTGAATGCCAACCAAAAGGGGTCCCTTTTTATAATTCTTAATATGATGGTTGTCCTGTTGCTCTCATTTTAAAGCCAACCAAAAAGGGGGTACCATCTGTCTTAAAGTAGGGGATCCCCCCCCAAAAAAGTGTCTTTTAGGTTTCCCTCTGAAAACAGCCATAGAAAAGGCACCACCTCAAAAGAAAAATATCTGTATTATATACACTAAAATATGGTTCTCCTGTTGGTTTCCCTTTTGAAACCAACCAGCAAGGGGCACCAACCCCCCAAAAAAAACGACGACGACGACCCAAACCCGCTCCAAGCGGGCCGCCGCCTCTGGGCCTCCGGGCCCGCGCCCGCAGCCCGAGGACGCGTCCCGCGCCAGGGCGGCCACCAGCGCCGCGTCGGGCGCCTGGCTGAAACCTTACCAGCCGACCGACCAGCCAAGCAACCGGCCAGCCAAGCCAGCCAAGCCAGCCAAGCAACCGACCGACCCGCCAAGCAGCCAACCGGCCAAGCAACCGGCCAAGCAAGCCAGCCAAGCCAGCCAAGCAACCGACCGACCCGCCAAGCAGCCAACCGGCCAAGCAACCGGCCAAGCAAGCAAGCAAATAAACAAACAAGACCCGCCAAGAAGCGACAAAACCCAAACGGTTTCAGAGCCAGAGAGCCCGAGAGCCCGAGAGCTTCGCCTTGCGCCGGCGCTGTAAGTACTCGGCCAGCAGCTCTACCTGCGCCAGCGCCCAGGCCATGGCACAAGTGCAGCAAAATCGGTTGAGTCGAGACACCTAAGCCAAGCTTCCCCTGAGGTTTAAGGCACCCCCAAACTAACCTTACCTCAAACCTCCAGTTCAAAGCGCCAAACCGCCAAGGGCCAAGGTGAAAATGCGGGTGTGTCTTTGTTGGAGGGTACGCTTGGTTTCCCCAGGGAAACCAAACGAAACACCGAAGCCAGTATGGGGGCGTCCCCGAAGAATAAGACACCCCCAGTTGGGATCGCCCACTTCTCATGCTAATCGGCCCCAAGTTTGATTTCGGGGGCGTCCGATTTCTCAAAAAATACGAGCCACCCAAATAAGACACACCCAAACAAGTGGCTGGTGCTCAGCAGGGAATGAGAATTGGAATGACGCCTAACCATCCAACTGATGGTTTCCTTTCCTGGCGAATCCCCTTCCGCAATCCCTGGGTTCGTCCCACATTCCCTAGCCAACCGCAGCAGCCAAAGTAAGGCAGAAAACCATCCAACTGGCGGTTTCCTTTTCATTCGAGTTTTTCTTGGGTTCATTCCATTGCGCATTCCCTGCGGGGGCCCCAAAATCCCCAGCACGTCCCTCCGTCACTTTCCGTCACCCCGCGCGCCTCCCTGGTGCAGTCGTAGCATCTGCAGAGCCCCGCCGTCCTCAGCGTGGCCTCGGACTCCGCGTCCTCCGCGTGGCGCAGCGGAGTGAGGCTCAAGGTCTTTGGGCCCCCGGTCAGATCCCCACTAAAATAGATTCTAAAATGGGTGGTGCACCTACCCAAAAATGGTACCATTGGTTTTGACCCACAGCCAAATGGGGTGGCTCGTCTTTTCTTCAGGAATCGGACCCCCCCAAAAATGATTGCTTCGGTTTTCCTCTCGGTGTTCGTGTGAAACGGCAAAACATAGGCACCCCCCCCCCCAGCCTAAATGGTTTCTTACAAATGGGTTCTAGGATGCAACATGATTGAGCTGGAACCCAGTACTTGGAACCCGTTTAGGGTCGCAGGGGCACAAGCACCCCTTTTAACGGACTTCCTCTTTGCGGCCCTTCACAGGGAGCGGCGAGTGGCTTTGTGGGGCTGCTCAAAATGGGAAACTTCTTCGAGGGTTCCCTTACGTACCCCATTTGGGGTGACTTCAAGGGCTGCGTTTTGGTTGAAACGGCTCCCTTTAGACAAACACCCAGCCCAAATCCTTGGTCCAGACCTCCTCAATATAATCTCAATGGTTGAAAGGCGACTCCAACATGCAGTTCTCAAGATCACTCAGACAGGGCTTCCTTATTTCCCTCGAAACACCACGCCAAAACACAGCTCCCTTGTAATGGGCCCCAAAAAGGTGATGTCTGAACCATCCGAGAGTCCTGGCAAACTGCAAACCACTTTAAGGGACCAGTTTTGAGAAGCCATCAAGATGTAACTACTTTAATGGGCCCGTTTTACCACCTTACAAACCCAAATTCTTTGTTGAACCAACCAATCTGCATCCAAAAGACCCAGCCCCAAATCCACCCAGAAAGTGCTTGAACCCAGTTCCCCTCTTGGGGCAATAGCAACCCCAAAAGCAAAACGCCGCCCTGCCCACGATTGTCCCAACTCCCCCGCCCATCCTGCGCAAAGGCCGGGCGCGGGTAGATGGAGATCCGCGTGACTGTGTTGAAGTAGAAGAGCTGCTCCCATAGGCACTGGAGCGGCTGAAGGACGCAGCTTGGTATCCCCCCTACCTTCAGGAGGAGGGGGGTGGGGGGTCCCCAATTCCATTTATCTAGTCTTCCCCAGAAAAGGGAAATTGGAACCACAAATGGAATTCCAGGGGTCACCCCCCCTCCCCAATTCCATTTTTAAGGGGGTGGAGATATCTTGGGCTTGGCTCTTCTTGGGCGGTGCCGCCTCCGGCGCCGCCTTTTGAAGGGGATGCCATCACTTGCCGGTGCGATGGGTTGGGAAACTGGTGGTTTCCTTTCCACGGGAATCCCCTTCCGGTTCCTTCAACCACATCGCACCAGCCAGAAAACGGGGCCCGAAGTTTGACCAGGTCCCAGGTATCGGGATGGAGGGCGAGAGAGCGGAAGGGAAGGTTGGGGTGTTGAAAGGCGGGGCTTCGGGGTTGGAGTGGGCGGGGGGAGTCCTTTTCGCGATCGGCGAGGTTTGGAAAGAAACAAACTCACTCAGGGTGTGTCTGCCACTCAATGTGTCTTCCCGTCGAAAGAATCACATCCAGCACCTCCTGTGGCGAAGTAATTTCTCTGGCCCGGCGGGCGTGACCCGTGACAGCAACCACACAGGCCCCACCAAACCTCAAGACTGCAATATCAAGTCCAGCAACGTGACAAATCTGACCGGGTCTCGAAATGGGGGAACCCAACCATGTTTCCCCCAAAAGCTCCAAAGCTCCAGAATTCTGGGCGGGTCTCGGAACCCGGAGAAAAAAAATTGGCCGTTTGACCTTTCGTTCCCCAGCAGCTCGCCCGCCTTCCTGAACCCAATGCCAACCCCTTCGCTCGCGCGAGGTCCCAGCGCCGAGCGCGCCTGGTGGTCCCAGCGCTTGGTGGCCAGCGCGGCGCCGTCCTGGTCTCTCTGCTTCGCTCGCGGGGGTTTAGGCGGGGGGGAAGGGGGGGGAAGGGGGGGGGGGTTAGGTGGGGGGTTAGGTGGGGAGAATGCGGTGGCAGGCGTGTGAATTTTGCTCGGGACCCTCCGGTAGGTATGAGCTGGGAATTCAGTGCCCCGGGCAACTTTGAGGGCAACTTTCAGTGACTCGCTCCGGGCACCGGGACTCCGAAACCGGCTCCTGCCTAAAGGGAAGCCAAAGGAACCTCCTTGTCTTTTACCCCGTCTGGAGGTGTTTGTACATACCCGCACCCCCACTCATCCCTTGGGTAAATGACCAAACAGGCTTGCTGTTCATACCCCTCTCCCTCTAAATTGTTTGCCCTTTCAGCCCGGCAGTCAAGTGGAAGTATCACCCGTGGACTTAAAGGAGTCAAAGCAGGTCCGTCAACCTAGCCAAGATACCCAAAGCGCAGTTGAACGGTTCAATCGCACTGATTCGGTCAAAGACCTGATCCGCAGTAAACCTCTACACCCATTGACATTTAGAACCAAGATCGCACATAAAAGTCTGAGATATCTAGGCCTCGCAATCAAATCCTTCCTTTAACCAAGTAGAACCCCTCTCTACATTGTCCGCTCCGGGCTCTTGTCCGCTGCTCACTTGGGTGTCCTTCGCATCCCCAGCGCCCAAGCGCTCAAGCGCTCAAGCGAAACCGCGAAGCCGCTTTCCCGCACGCCTGCGGGGTGACCAGCAGGCGGCACTCCGTGGTGCTCTGCGGGCCCCAGACCGGGAGCCGCAGCCTCGCTTCGGCCGCTTAAAGGCCGATTCAAAACCCGCTGGTGGGGGGAGAGGGGGGTGGGGGGGGATCAGGGGTCGGGGGGGGTGGGGTGGGGATGAGGGGTCGAGGGGGGGTGGGGTGGGGGCACGGGGGGTGGGGTGGGGATCAGGGATCGCTGGATTGCCCCTAGGCAGGAAATGGACTGGTGGCGGCCAGTGAAACCATCGCGTCTCCACTTGAGGTCAACCCCAAGAAGGGGGAAATGGCTCGGCCCTGCAAATACTCAGGCTCCCGGCTCCCCGTCCAGCGTCTCAGTGCAGCCCGGACTGTACGGGAACCGAAACTTCCTGGCGAATCGGATCGGAAAATGCGCTGCGACTCAAGCCCTGCAACATGAACAGCAGCCCCCCTTTCGTTTTCCCTTGGGCTGTGGAAACAAAATTTGACCAACCCTCCTCACATCCTGTACACACCATGGACTCGCCCCTGGTTCGTGCTTCTGCTCTCCAAATCCCGTCAATTTCAGGTTGGAACCAAACTGAAACCAGTGGAACAGAGGCCTCCAACAGTCGTTGTCGAGAGCCAAACTTTCTTCAAGGGCAATCAAACAGGACAAACGCGGCAGCAAAGCAAGAGCGCTCGCTTTGGGCGCAAGATGTCAACCTCAGCCCAAGTTCGCGAGGGTGCCCTTTTTGGTGTTATTTTGAGTGTGGTCGAGGGAAACCAACAAACAACCACCAATTTGGGGGGTGTGCCATTTTTCATTTGAAGGCAAATCCGCATGCTTTGAGGCGTCCACCCCTGCCAACATGAGACTCACTTGAACCTGGCCCGACGGATGATGAAACCCAAAGGGAAATATGGTCGCGTCTGACAGGCGAACCCCCCAGAAATGGCGACTTTCATTTAGCTTCCTTTTCGATAGAGGCCAGCAAATGAGGGATTGATCAATCTTCCATTGAGGGCCCCCAAATGACCATGCGCAACTTTTGCCGTTTAGTGGAGAAAGTCCTGGTTTTCAAGTGGTTTCCCTGGTCATCCATCAACTGCCAAATATCGACCAGCCCTTCGGAACCAGCCCCCCAAGGCTCCCCTTCCCACCAGACATGGGGTCAGGCATGGGGTCCCACGCCCACGTCTCTTGGGCTCGAAGGTCGGCGAGCAATCGCGCGTCGTGTTCCTCTGCCTGAGGCCCATGGATTGCCCCCAGAGAAGTGCCCCTCCAATGGCGGAATTGGTTCCCTTTGCTTTCCATTCCAAGTGAAAGACGGAACCAGTGCCACAAGCAAACTTCTATCGATTCTGTGGTGTGTTTTGGCGTGGCATGTTGCAGGAGCATCACGAAACATATTTTGGCATTGGGGAATGCGCAGCGCGGCAGCTCGCTTCTGCATTATAGTTTTGTTTCTCCCCTCCCTCGACAACCGACTGTTACCTCTTTCAAAAGACCATCTTGGTGGCGGTATGGCTAGATTCCTTAACGGAGGGGGTAACATCTCAATTTAGCATATTAATATGACCTGCGACGGCATCGACAATTGGCATTGTCGCCCATCCTCCTCATCCTCCTCATCATCAGCGCCAGCAGCATCACCCACCCCCATCACTAAGTGGGTGCGTCTTTCTTTCGGGATGGTGTCCCCTTTGGTTTTGTTTTCCAGAAAACCACAAAGCCAGAAGGCCATTAGACCGCGTGGCAGGCTTGCCCCGTTAGGCTTCCCACCCAGGATCAACGTCACCGCCTCTTTTTTCTGAGACTCCGGCGGAGTCACGCTGCCAATCCGCGGTGCGGATGTCGCTCACAAAGAGCAGCGGCACCTCATCGCGATCGGACAGCTGACAGCAGAACAAACGGCTGACGGTCGGCGGTCCAAGGAGTCTGCGTGACGAACGGTAGAGATGTCCCTTGTGTTGTGACGAATTACAGGCCATTCTTTGAAGAGCAGAATCACATTTGAACACTTTCAGGAGGCAAAGGCTGAGCTAGGAGCCCGTGCAGGTTTTGACACCTCCTTGCGTGTTCAGCCCACTTGGGAAGCGTTTGTCATCCTGGCTTGGGGATGATGAAGGCACAAAAAACCTGGGATGCAAAGGGTCACTCCGGGCCATATGAGGGGACTCACCTCGGTGACCCACCCACCTCTGTCTCAAAACGACCAACCCCTTTCAGAGCGCCTGTCGCTCGGCCAGCGCTTTGGCTACCTCCTCTGTGAAGTACTCCTCGCCCAAGGGACGGGGGTTTGGGCGCCGGATAGACCCGACCCTCCGCATGGCAAGGCACTACACTGCCATGTTGTAAGAAAGGGGCAAAAAAGCAAGAAGGGGTCCAGGAACCTACCCAACCACCACCCGCACACACACCAGACCGCACGAGAGGCAGGCAGGCAGCGCAGGCGGCCTCCAAGCGGGCAGCGCTCCTGGTGCACGCGAAGGTTCCGCGGAGCCTGCGGCGGCACCTGGGCGCCGCAAGGAAGCGGCGGGGGACGGAAGGAAGGGATTTTTTTAATTTTAGGGGAGGCAAAAGGAGGCCGGGCCCTCCGGCCGCGGAGCGCGCAAAGGGCCGGGGGTCCCAGGCTTCGACCTGCGTCAAGATGTGGAAGCAACTCGGTCGTGGCCAAATTGGGTTGTTTGGTAGAAATCCTTTCACAAGGGGAACCCTGAAAAAAAAGAGCCAACCAAATTCTCAAAAGGCAACCCCCAAAAAAATCGGGGTGGGGTTTTCTGGTTGGTTCGCCAACCCCTCAGAGAAATGTGGTTTTGGTTCGCCTTTCAAACCCCCAGCAAGGGGCGCGCTCAACCAAGACGCACGGCATATTCCAGCCAAGCAAACATCCTCTTATCCCATAGTTGTGGCTGCAATGATGCAATGTGCCAGTTGAACATCCAACCCGGTGTCCATGTAGCTTCCCTACACAAAACAAACTCAAAAAACCAGCAGCCTCAAAGAAAGATGCACTCATGCCCGGCCTGTCAAAACTAGCTGGGTCCTCCCTGCATTTGCTGGCTGGTTGGGATCATGTCTGTTGGGTTCCCTGAAATCGTCCGAAGTCATCCTGTCCAGGGCGTCCCGAAATGACCAAAAGCAAACCGCAAATGTTCAGGCCTCTGTCGGAAACACCTAAGCCCATCCTGAACCAATCCCAACCAAAACACCCCCACCACACAAATCACACCCATCAACCGACGCCCAAAAAAAAAAACGAGCCAGCCACCCCCCCCCTCCAAACCCCCCGAATTCACCTGGATCTCGGGGAAGAGTTCGCAGAGGAAGGCCAGGTGGTGCCCCTCAGCAGCGCCTCAAGGGCGTTGAACCCCACTTTTCGTGGCCCTTTAAAGGCGTTCGCGGGGTGGTACCCTTCCTCCCCACAAACATAGCACCTATGGGGGGGTGGAAGATCAGTTTCCATTTTAGAAGAGCCTTCTGTGAAATGCTGTGGGGGTCCCGCTGTTCCGGCGCCAGCATTTGAGACACACAAAACATAATTTTGTCAGGAACCTCCTCCGGGACCAATGTTTTGGGAATCATACTAATTTAGAGGCAAGTGCCCTGTTTTTGGGGTTGCGTTTAAAGAAAGCCAAAAAAACACCACCCAATTCTAAGCCACGGTCAATCTTTGTTGCATCCCCCAATGACACTGAAATCATTAAATTTTGGATGACCTCGGCGGATATTGACCCTTGCTCATGCCAAAATGGATGACAAACGTGGCCTGCACAAACAGGAGTGCGAAGGGAGACAGCAAAGGGAAACTTCTAGATGGAGGCAGAGAAAGGGAATGAAATCTGGGTTCATCAAAAACACGCTCTCCGAGTTACCTTTGCAGTGGGATTCAAAGGGAAACCACCGGGTCCCAAGCACGTTTTGGAGAATCAAGGCCCTGAGCCCGTACGGCTCGCACAGCCGGGGTTGATAAGGCCCGGTCGCTGGGAGCTGCCAGGCTTGTCAACATGCCCAAAGGAGGTCGCTCAACCGCTGGAGAGCAGGGCGGGCCAGATGGTTTTTCTGATTGGCTCAGTTGCAATATCCACCCTCAGTCAGCGGAGTTCCTTGGACGGTTACGCCTTTGCCAGCATACCCGTCTCATGGTCTTGCAAGCTGGCTACATACCCGTACTATTCTTTGCTTCTGGAAGGTGAGGATGCGTCAGTGCTTCCACCAGGGAGGGGCTTGTTTCGGGATGTGCCAGGTCGGGGACAGGAACCATCACAGACGGACAATCTGTCACTCCGTGCAAAGTGCAAACCCTCCCGTGCCTGCGTAGACCAAAAGCTGCGCTTCTGCTGCAAAGTCTAGCAGAAACCTTGGCGCCGGAGCAGTGGAAGATCATGATAGACAGTTTCACTAAGAAAGGCTATGTGTGCCTATGTTTCATTGTGCGACTGTGTTCCCTATGTTTGACCATAAACGACCTGCTCAGCCCAGAAGATATGGGAAAAAGGTGAGTCCATAGTCCGTACCTCGCCGCTTTCGAATGAGCATGTGCTTTCTGGGAACGGAAAAGGACAGTTCTTCCCTCAGATGGAGTCCCGGGGATGAGAACAAGGACACCAAGCATTCTAAGTGTTTTACTAAGGCCCAAAGGCAACTATGTTGACTTCATGACACCCGAGAGCCTTCAGTTCATTTCGGCCCTTAACGGTTTTTAAGGGGACCCTATCTTATCCGCATGTGCTGAACGGGTAGAAGATGCAAGTGGGGGGCTCTTTGGTGATGTCCTCAGAAATACATGTTGGCTTCTCTCCTTTCCCAATGTCCCAACCATGAGGGTGTTCCAACCATTGAAAACTCACAACTAAATGCTGGACATGGGTTTAGCCTTGAAAATGGTTGACCGTTGTATCCCCCGTTTTCCCATCTGTTCCATATGGAAAAAGCAGCAAAGTCGGCGCAAACTCAAAGACTTTGTGCGCTTTGAGTGGCTCCAGCTCCGCCATGAACAGCTTCCGCTGGCCCCAGTGCACCGTGCTCTTGGCCTCCTCCTTGGGGCGCTCGGGGGCGTGCGAGTGTGTGCGGGGACGCGCGGGGCGTGCGGGTCTTTTGTACATGGGGATCTGTGCAATCCAGTCTTGAGGCGATTGGACTGGCCCCAACTGGTATGATTGACTTGGCATCACTGATCACCCAACTATGTCAATGTGAATTCCCAAAAAGACGCATCCACCCGAAAAGATACGACTTGCCCCTGGCATCCTCAAGTGACCCTCTTGCACTGACAGGACCATCCACTCCAATGCTCCGAGCCGCCTTCCGTTGCCGGTACTCCGCACGGGGACAGGCGCCTGTCAGCACCCGCGGGGGGCTGGGCAGGGCATCCAGCTCCGGCACGTCGGCATCCGTGGGCAGTGCCACGCGCTGCCAGGTGTGGGGGTTCGCCAAGGCGCAGGAAGGGTCCTCGAGCCAAGGCGCTGGGCGCAACCCTTTTGTTGGGAGGGCGCCGAAAGCCCGAAAATCCGAAGGCCCGAAAAGTGGGGCGAAATCGAGATCAGAAGTTGGCGGCCGCAGAGCAAAAGTCAAGTGTCCGCCACAACCCCCCCCCTCTGTCCACGCCCATGCCGAAACCTGGTTCCCCCCTGCCCCCAAAAGACTCGTCCCCGTACTAACTCTTACTAACTCTTGAGCCATCTGTCAAAGCCTGGAGACTGAAGCAAACCTCGACCCGAGCCTCGGAAGTGCAACCAAAGCCTTAAAGCGAGCCGTGCACTAGCGCTCAAAAGACAGTTTCCATTTCCCCCAAAGCCGCTACCCAGCAAACAAAATGGGGCGTGGAATCCTTCTATGGCCATTTTGTTGCGAGCCTTGGTCAACGCTATTTCCCACTGTGGTGAGTAACTAACATTCATTCCCACAGCGGTAACCCCCATTTCCTAATGAAATGTTCGGCGGGTCTTCCCACTGTCATCCGCAGTAAACAAAGTGAGCTGACTATTGCTCAACATATTGCACAGGGAAGTCAGGTCTATTGGGGCAAGTTGGTGTCCACATCCGCCAGCCATGTGTTTCAAGGTTCCCAATTCAAGTTTGAGCCCATTTTATGTGCCATGGTCATGGTCATGCAACATACCTACTCAAGTGACCATCCCTACCAACCCAAAGTAAGCCTGTCTTTTGAGACCATGGCATATGTCGGGTATGTGTCAAAATATTGGGGATGGCTTCCGCTTTCGTTTCCATTTGGAACAATTTCAAAGGCTACCAAGCCGTAAAAACACATGATAGTGGATGGGATCTTTGACCAGCCACTTGAATGCTCCAAACCAAAGAGGTGACCGGTAGTGGCTGGGGGGACCACCCACGTGTTACGTAGGATGAGACTCTGAGACGAACGCACCTACTAAGTTGGTGTCAAACATCCTCGCTCCACTTCGCTCGACCTCGTTTTTCCCATAAACAGTTGGCTCAGCAACTTCACCCATTCTTCAAGTCGAGTGCAAGCCCATGTGGCTATGGGTCAAAACCCCGGTGCCCCGGTAAACACCCAGAAAGCCTTCTAAAAGGACAACTCTGGAGTGGGAACCATCCCCAAAAAGGCACCTTAGGTTTTGACCCACAACCATGTCACCCCGTGTTTCGCCGCAAAATGCCCTGGGCCTCCGACCCCCCCCCCAAGCCCCCCGACAGCCCCCCCCCACCCAACCGGCGGCAGCCGGGACCGGTCCCGGCAGCGCAGCGCCAGGGCGAAGTCGGCGGCCCAGGACCGGCGGCCCACGGCGCCTGGAGCTACGAGCTACGAGCGAGCTGCGGGGTCTGCGAGGCCCGCGGGGCCTGTGGGGTTTCTTGGTGGCTTGGAGTGGTGGTTGACCAATTTTGTATCAGCCCGGTTTTATTTTATTTATTTTTAGGGGGGGGTTATTAAACTGGGGTTGATCTTTTATGGGGTCAAACAGTATGGGTACAAAGCGATGGACGAAGCACTGGGAATCTGTCTGCAACAGAACCTTGCTGGTGCTGAGTAGAGCAAGAGGGAATGAACGCAGGCTTTGGTCCCCTTAAAGGAAACCATACGGGTTGGATTCCCTCCTTCATTACTGAGCAGCAGCGAGGAACCTGAAACTTGAGTTGGATCCACAAGTAAAGGACCCGCACGGCGAGCTCGCCTTATCCCGACGTAAGATGGCCGTACCATTGACAGCCAAGTCAAGAACAACCTTTTACCAGGCAAACCAGGCAAAGCTAGCTGTCCAAGAAGGATATCAAGTTTTGGGAAACACGAACTGCTCGACCATGCACCACTCGTCGGCTCTGCAAGCATTTCGGTCAAAATTGCAGTCCACAACAGAGAGAAGGGGGCGCTCCCAGTTGTCGCAGTCATCTTGCCACAAAGTCGCCCTTCTTGGCAAAGCGCACCTTGTCTCCGTTGGCATACGCCGTGCCCATGGAAGCTCTGCTGCAGGCCGATGCGAAGGGATTCCGTACCACATATTTCCGGCCGCGCCGTTGTACCGCTCCCTGCCACACCACACGGAGCTCTCCGTAGCATCGATGCGGAGCGTGCCTCCCGAGGCCCCGCCCGCTTCAAGGCCCTGAGACGGTGCGGCCCGCACAGCCGGGGTTGCTAAGGCCCAGCATGACGACCAGCATCAAGAACATCATTGACATCATGGTACGGCGCTGGCACAAACTGTCCGAGAGGAGTTCTGAAAGCACCTAGTCAACCTCCTTGCTTTCACTTGAGGCCGCGAGGTAACGGCTCTCTCATACTAAACATGCAAGTTCAACCAAAAGCCAGCAGATATAAGCATTGTGTCAGCTGGCTCTGTGCCAGGCAAGGCAGACTCTCAACGGCTTCATGTCTCCCACCCCCGGCTTCCCAGGGCGCCTTTGGCCAAGTTCCAGGGCCAAGGCATCCGGAGCCGAAGCTACGAAGCTCGGCGTCGAGGGCTCAAGGTAGGGTCTGCGGGGGTGGCAAACCCCCCAAACCGTTGCCCCAGAAAACGCTTGGTACCCTTTACATTGTGGTTGTATGGTGGCTGCATACCCCCCACAAGGGGGGAGCGGTTTTGCTAGGTGCATGGTAGGTACATGGTAGGTACATGGTAGCTGGATGGTAGGTACATGGTAGCTGGATTGTAGGTACATGGTATGTACATGGTACGAGTGTGGTGTGCCTATAATATGGACCTGGTATGTCATGGTATGTGTGCCATAGAATTTCTGAATCCCTGGCTTTATCTTCCCAAGTTGCTTGGAGTGTTTGACATGGAGTGGCGTGGCTGGCGTGGCGCTCCCTGCCAGCCCTGGTCTGGTCTGCGTCTGGGGCTGGGTCTGTCTGAATTCATGCATACATGCATGCATGTATGCAAGTAGGTTGGTATGTAGCGTAGGTATGTAGGGTAGGCATGTAGGGTAGGTACGTAGGGTAGGTATGTAGGGTAGGTATGGTGGGTGGGTATGTAGGTATGTAGGTATGTACGTATGCATCACACTGTGTCGGGAATGGCCCCGGACAAGAACCGAAAGAGCTGGACACCCTTTTTGGGGCCTGATGCTTTTTTTACATCAGCTGGCTCCCTGCGCTTGAGCCGGCAACGGCAAGGCATCTCACAGGCAGCAAGAGCTAACCCTAGGCGATCGCCTACCGAGACGGTCCCAGTTGGTGGCCCCAGGTGCAAATTCTGCAAATTTTACTATACTTCCAGAAGCCGAATTAAGAATCCGATCCCCAGGTAAAGGACCTTTGGTGGTGAGCTCGGCATACTAATACATTTATGCACACATGTTGTCCAGCGGGGTTACTGGGGCTTAGCCGAAGGCCAAGCATGCAGCGATTCCCTCCAAACGCCGCGCGCTCGGCGCGGCCAAGGCATTTTCGTTCAAATTCGGGTGGGCTGCGGGGCCCAAAAAGGCGGTGAAACCGAGTCCCCCGGACGGGACGCGATGGATGGCCGGCACTCGGAGCCCGGAGAAAAAACGAAAAACCTGTCAAGAGAAACACCACAAACAAATCCGTGTGGACACCAGGAAGACAAAACACCTGTCTTCTAGAGGAGCAAGATTCTCTCGGATGTTCAAGCCAATTTGTAAGTACGTTACACCCATAGCTGCAAGTGGAGCAACTGGGGTTAGCTCCCTTGTTACAATGGCTCCAATTTACTTGCAAAGTGCGTTTAACCCAGGTGTAAGGACCTCGTTTTAGGGATCTGGAGCCACAACAGTTAGCCCCCGAGTGCTGCCTGTGCTCTGCACGCTTTGTTTGGCAAAGCGCGCTTTTCTCAGCGCGAAGCGCTTAATCCGGGGGATCGAATGCACAAGTCGGAATGCGGAAATCTGCCTTCGAAACCATATCGCCAGTCCCATTTTCCTCCGTCAATGGTTCCAAGAACGGACTGACCATCTGACCTACCCAATCCAGTCACAATGGGCGCAGTGCCCCTCTTCTCTTGCGTGTCCACATCCCGACATGGGCGCTTCTCAAAACAGGCGACCCCTAAAATAGTTGGCTTTCTTTCGTCTTCACTTGCAAACGGTCCTAAGAAGGAGTCTTCTATTTTGAGACCGGCCCACTCTCCGCGACTCAAGAGGCGACCTCCGCAGATCGGGCGCGGCTGCCCAGAAGGCCTTGTCATGGCTCCGGTCCACAGCAAGTTGGGCCATCCCAACAACCGGCATATTCCATTTGCTTGAGCCCCTGGACAAAGGAATGCCCAGTAGTGACAGGTTGTGTTCTAAATATGTTGTTGAATGAAAAAAGGAAGCACATGGACGGAATATCAGCCGCAGTCCCTGAACATCCAATTGGTCAGCTTCTTTCCCTGGAAAGAATAAGCAAGGTCCCCTTAAAACTTTGACACAATCCCACCGTTCTGTGTCAACGACCGAAGGCGCTCTACAGGCGGCTCGAAAACAGCTCTTCAGATTGTTTCTCGGTTGAAGGATAGTTGACTTTAAACATGCGTGCATGTATGTATGTATATACATATGTGTATGTGTACATATGTGTATGTACATATGTGTATGTAGATTTGTTCTAGTCTTTAGGATTAGGATGCTTCAACACATTGGGACTGATGCGCCCTCAGCACAAGGCCCAACTCGCCTGCCAGCCCACGAGCGATCCATCTGAGGGATCTGGGCAAGTTGCTACAGCCATTTGCCCGTCCGATCCCATCCGATGAATTTCCTTTGCACGTCATCTGTCAGACTCCGTATCGCTGGGCTCCTCGAAGTCTTCCGAGAAGTCGCTGCCTGGCGCGCGAAGCCACGCGCGCTCAAGCCACGTCCTCGTGCCACGTCCCGATTGAAAGAACCTCCTTTGGAATATTGATTGAAGGGAAACCAAAGGACACCGGAAATGAGGGGTTTTCTATTTGACACCCACATGCAGTCAGTCAAACGACCAGACTCTTGAGCTTGGAGACAGCCTAGCGATGGGCGAGCACCTCAACTGCGGAATGAATCCGGGTAAGGTCCCCTTCAGGACGGTATTTCAAGTTTAGCCAAAACTACCTTAGCTGCCTCCAACCAAATATGACATGTCTAATTGCTGGTCCATACTTAGTCATGTCAAACGAGAGCCCCGAAAGAAAAGGAAGAGAAAAACGAGCGACCAGCGGTCCAAGTCTCCCAGTCAAGATGTTCGGACACCAGAAGGTTCCTAGTTGATGAAATGCCCAGTGTGTGCAGCCTGCCTATCTTTCGTTCAACCGATATGGCCCGAGTCGCAAACAACACCTTGGACTAGCATTGCCGCCCGCTACCTTAGGTTTTGATTGTGTCCTCGAACAAAAACGGGAGAGGTCGAACATGTGCAAAAATGCACCTTTCGGTACCACCCGTTTTCCCAGATTCTGGCAAAAGGGAGCCCCACTTTCGTGCCCGTCTTGCCACCGCCCGGGTCCCAAGGCAGTTTCCCAGCCACACCTGCGTCGCTGGCATCCTCAGCGATCAGCGGGTATCTCAAAATTCGAGGAACCCACAAGACGAATAGTGTCCTTGCCCTTTTGGCTTCTCTTCAAAACAACCCGAAAAAATACCAACTGAAAAACAAAACAAAAAAACCTATGGAATTGTCTCGAAATAGGCCGCCTGGAGTCTTTGTTTGCAATCAATTGACTTGGACCTGACCTAAAGCTACACTTCAAGTGAGCCATCTCAAAATCGGGTCTCTCTTTTTGGGGATGCCCCGGTGTTTGTGGTTCTGTAGGGAAACCAAAAGGAGAACCACGATCTGGGGAGAGCAAGCAAGCAAGCAAGCAAGCAAGCAAGCAAGCAAGCAAGCAAGCAAGCAAGCAAGCAAGCAGGCAGGCAGGCAGGCAGGCAGGCAGGCAGGCAGGCAGGCAGGCAGGAAACTGCAATGTGAACACCTTCCAACACACGTCTTTTTGACCCCTGGGCCGGCAAGTTTGCCGCAGGTGCCGGCAAACCCTTTTTTCCTCTCTTGGCATCCGTGCTTCTGGATTCGCATCTTGCCGCGTGTCTGCGGGCGCCGAGCAAAGGCGGCGCTTCAATTAGCCGCCCAGGCACAAACTCCGTGGCAAGGGTAAATGAGCTGGTTGCCCCTCAGTCGAGTAGTCAAACACAGCGAGACTCGACCTCCCCCCCCGAACAACAACCCCGCCCCACTTGTTGTTCGACCCCCCAGCCCCCGAACAACAACCCCCCCCTATCGAACGGGTGTGTCCCAACAACTAAAAAGTGGCCAGAACGGCACCCCTGGTTTGAAATTTGCCCATTCAGCTACTTCGCCGGAGGTGTCCCCTTCTCTGGCCGTACAATGTCCCCTTTGCTTGATACATCGCGACAGGCTTTTCTTGAACATGCCCTTTTGTTGCAGGCCAGTGTGCGTGTTTGTGCGCTTGGAGACTATACCTGCATGGAACCTGACAATGGGTTCCTGAAAGAAAAGCCGCCTAGTGAGATGCTCGCTAGTTACACGCAACTTGTGGTATGCAATCGAACCACTAGGACTAGAAACACTCGGCCAATGCTCGCATTAGCCCGCAAAGCAGTGCACATATTCGGGCGGAGCACTCTGTGTGCATTTAAGCAGAATCAAGCCAGGAAAGCAACAGAATGCTTCAAAAAACCACTTGGCAAAAGCTTGCAGCTTCAATTGCTATGTCCCATACCACCATCACCATCACTGCCACCGCCACTGCCACTCCCACCACCATCATCATAATCAGCATCACCACCACCACCACCATCGTCATCACCATCACCGCCACTATCACTATCACCATTGCTGTCACCAACACCATCATCGTGAAGCCGTTGTTCTTCCGCGGATTGCTTGTTTTGACTTTATCTAAGCTCCAGCATCCCAGGGTCATTTATGGGTGGCCCCCCCATGTCCTCCCCAAGCTAAACAGTAGACTACCAGTACTCCCATCTCAAAGCGGGTTCCCCAAAAGTAGATGAAAGCACAAAGAGTTTTGGCAGGTTCAATGATGCTCTGCAGGAATGCGTGTCACTTACTCATCCGCCCCGAGGCTCTTGGATTCGTTTTCGGATCGGCCTGGATCGACCTTCCGGACATCTGCCTCGTGAGCGAGGCGTCCGGAAACGAAGACGATTTCGACAGACATGAAAGCTCCCTTTGTCAATATACCCCCAACAAACATTGTGGTGTTCCTTTGGTTTTCCCTTTAGCACCACCAAAACAGGGGTACGCTCAACAAAAGACACACCCATACAGAGTCAGATTCATAAGCCGTTGCCAAACGGTGACCAGTGGCTGTTACTGCCTGGCCTTGTCTGTGGCTCGTTTTGCTGCTCTGAATCAATGTTAGGCTTTGCCCCGCGGCTGCCCGCCACGAAACTAAGGGGCGGCCCATGTAAGCCAAACTCTGCCAGGAAGAGAGGGTGTCGCTAGGCAACTGGGTAGGTACCGTCAATCAATTGCCTATGATACTAGACAACCAAGTCAGACAGGCTGAGCTGCTCCTTAATCTTACCGTGCCTATAAACCGCACTTGCACACCAACTGGATGCATGCAAAAAACAGAAACAAACCCACGGGTGTCAAGATGGTGTGAAACACGGTGTGTCGGTCAGTATCAAAATCGGGCCAAGGCCCCCCTTGACCGAAAATGAAACCAAGGACCAAGGAGACACGCCTGCCTTCAGGCCTATTCACAATTAGGGGGCGGCCCTTCCATTTTTCCTCAATCCTAATTGGATTCCACCACAAAGAGGGTCCAATCCTTTCGCACGGAAAGGATCGAACAGGGATGCCACCAATGTGGAAAGGCCCCCGGCGGAACTTGAGTGTGTGTGTTTTTGCTGAGGGCGTCCTCTTCATCTCGGCTTGAAGGCGTGTGATGCTTACTGTGCGACCTCTAAAACCTGACCACAAACTGCTGGAGACCTATGTTCCATCAATTAAAAGAAGAGAACGAGTTGCCAACGTTGCCATGCGAATTGTATATACACGAACTACTAAGAATTGGGTCGTCAAGTAGTATAGGACCTGCATCATGGGTTTCCACTCTTTCTCCCCTCGAATCGGAAGAATCGCTCGAAACCCAATTTGGGCTTGGCTCAAAATTTAAAGAGCCAGGGTTACGCAGGTGCTGGTCTTTGGTGGCATTTTACCAAGCTGCCAGTTTGGTACATGTTTTTGCCCACAGCCATTTCCATAACGGCTGGCCTTTCCCCTTGACGCCCCCAAAGAAGGCCCGAAACTCGGCCGCGGTCTGCGAAGACCTGCCTCCGGCAGTCCCATGCCACACTCGTCGTAGGTAATCGGCAGCAGCACGCTGAGATCCTCCGGCCGCGGCGTCTGAGGCGCTTGTAACAAGGAGGACCTTCATCAGCGGACCCCGAACATCATTATTTTCCTTATAAAATAAGCTCAGGTGATATCCCCAACAGCATGCGGTGCTCTTTTTAGTGCTCGCACCACCCCGCAGCCCTCGCAGAACCTCGTGGAACCCTGGTGGAACCCTGGTGGAACCCTCGTGGAACCTTACCTCAGGGCCGCCCCGGACCACCCCGGAGCCTATCTGGGCTGAGACCCCAAAGCTTTCAGCTGTTGGGGAAAAAACTAAGAGTGGAGCCAACTCCTCAGGATTGATCCGAAGTTAAGATTCATATAAGAGCCTGAGTGAATAGAAAAGGGTTGGCGGGTCATGGTCATAAGAGAATAAGCTGTGTAATTGTTTGGCCCTTTGTATTACCCTTTTGGGGGTTGGAGAACAAAGAAGCCACAAAGTTGGGGGAAGAATAAACCAAGACGCCCGCTTTGAAATGTGTTAGAAGCTGTTGGTAAAGTAGAAACACAAATCTTTATCAAAAGAAACAAGCAGGGTGCTTGAAGTGAATGGGGAATCAAAGCCTGGAACCCTGAAACTGATTGCCATCTCATGAATGTTGCTGGCCGTGCTCAGCCCCAACGCCAGCTCAACCCAAGGTTTGAGAACCCATGTTCGGCGCTTGGAGCGTCCTCATGACTCACTGTGGTATAACAAGAAGCCGTTTCCATCACAACCATCCAACGTTTGCCTTCTGACTCCTGGGGAAGCCTTGCAGAATACCGTCTTCTTGCAGAGGTGCCTTTGTTTCCCGCAAGGATCAAAAGTCTGGATCCAAACGTGTCAACGCTTTGTTTCAAAATGCACTTTGAAGGACCAGTGCCTGGTTGTTTAAACAAAGGTTGCCCTCGCAACAACCCAAACCCGCAACCGCCACCACCCCCCCCACCCCCGCCTCAACAAACAAAACAAGGCGAACCCCAAAACAAAAAAACACAAAAACATCAATTTCGAGCACCTTGGCTTGAAAATCTAAAGCGGGTGACACCGTCAATACCCAAAACGCCCCTCCCCCAATCTGGTTCAACCCTTTTGGCAACAAAGCATTTGAGTGCCTGCAAATGGGCACTTTAAAAGGGAAACCAACGTTATATCAAGAGTTATAAAGGAGCACCATCCACCTCCACCTCCACCTCCACCTCCACCCCACCCCACCCACCCCACCCCCACCCCACAACCACCCCACCCCCACCCCACACCCACCCCACACCCACCCAACCCCACCCACCCCACCTCATCCCAGCCCCACCCACCACACCCCCACCCCACCCACCTCCACCCCACCCCACCCCCCCCCACCCACTTCCCCCCTTCCGCCTCTCGATCCTCCAAGGCCGGCAGCAGAACCACCGCCTGGCAAGGCAACCCATCCTCGCCAAAACTTGTGCGGACTCTCTCCTCGCCAAAACAAAAAATTTGGTAAAGGCCAAATCACTCGAAAAACTTGGTTGTTTTTTCCCCTTTTTTTTCTGTTGGGTGCTTCAAGACTTGTTTGGGGTCAACGCTGATTCCACCAAAGGTGCTGCTTGAATCCCTGGGACTTTGCATCATATGTCTTTCCGTCAGGGTGGTGGTCTTTTTGAGGAATCAAACCCCTAAAGAAACGCACATTATATGGATGTCCTGTTCCTGAAAAAAGCCCAACCCAACAGGGGTACCGAGCCTCAAACGGACCCTCAAGGACAGACTCCCGATGGCGGCCGTCCAAAGCTTGAATATGGGCGGCGCGTCTTTGTGTCCAGGCTCACCCGCTCTCATTTTTGTGGTCTATTTTTTGTGGGAAAAAAACCTGTGCAACACCAGGCCCTGGGCATTTTGCATCCAGCCCGGGCAATTTTTATGAAGGGCAAGGATTCAAGCCATCAGTGCTGAGTCCTTGAGCCCCTCGGCATTTTTCCCAGCGGGGCGAGTCAAGCGAGAGCCCAAGCCGGGACCAAACCTTTTGTTGGGCTTTTCTGGGGCTCGCCAGGAAGCCAGCCAGTGTGTTCGAGAAGAACGAAACGGGCGCCTCACACTACTAAGCTAGTGTTGGTCTATATTCTGAGGGGGCCGGTCCCCAAGTTTTCCGTCCCTTTTGAGGAAGCTAGTAATTCTTGTTTGTTGCACATATTGTCCCTTTTAAGCATCATCCCGAAGAACGACAACCAAAAGGTGAGGCTGAAATCACCGAAAGCGAAATATAAAGGACCTCTGCTTGCCTTTTCGACGCCTCTTTTTGGGTTGGAAGTTGGACCGGGTCCCTCAAACTGTAGAACCCCTCAATCGGCAGTCCCTTGATACAAAGGAGGTTGACAGGCGAACCCTGGCTTTCTTCTTGTGTGCCGCAAGGCATCACGTAAGCTACCCTCCCACCAACTAACATGGCAGTGCACAAGGCCCCTTTCCAAGAAGAAAGTAGGCTTTCCACGCGGGTCTGTGCACTTCCATGTTAGTTGGTGGGAGGGTACCACTGTAGGATCTGTAGGCAACACAAACACCCAAAAGTCGGCTCTTCTTAACCCTCCGCCTCCGCCTCCGCCAAGTGCAACGGTGCTCTCCTGGCCTGGCAGCGGGCACTTCCCCGCACCTGCCTGAGCTTTCATTGAAAAACCCTTCAGTGGACATCCAAAAACATGTGGGCATCAGAAAGAGTAAGACGGACATGATAAAATTACGGCGAACCGGTTGACCCCTTCGCAGTCGGAAATGATCAACGTCGAACCTCTTGGACCTTTGGGAATCGGCAGGACATTGAGGAAATTTGAGGAAGTCAAGGAGTCTGGTAGCTTCCAACTTCCAACCATTCTTT